GTGTGTGTGTGTGTCTCTCCCTGTGTGTGTGTGTGTGTGTGTGTGTGTGTTTACAGCTCCTTACGTTGACATTTCAAGCGAAGGACTCGGCTGAAACGTTGGTCCAGAAACCAGGGAAATGTTCTCAGAATGAATTGGTCCTGCAGACGGTCAGACGGCTCCAAACCAGAACAGAACTGGAACCAGAATAGAACCAGAACTAGAACAGAACCAACACCGCAATCAGAATCAGAACCATGTCGGCCCAGTTCCTTACAGACGCTGCGTTCTGAGGCCAGCATGGCGCCGACGTGAGACCAAGCGGTTCTGGTCTCCGGCGGTTACGGTGATGACGGAGCGTTGGCGGGTTCTACAGAAATCAACTCGTTAGTTTGCATGTTGATATATTCTCACCATCAAAACCTCCAAATCCTTCAGTGTTTGAATCTATTAGCTGCTGTTAGCTTCTACTGCTAACAACACGAGACTCCCAGTCCTTCCGGGTTTCCATCTAGTGGAGAATGAGGACGTTCAGTCTGATAATATTCCCACAATCGAAGTTCAGAGGAAACAGAGGAAAATATCAGCGAAGTCTAAATGGAGCAGAGAACGTGGAGAAATATTTTCTCATCTGCCTCCAGAGGTCAGTCTGGGTTTTCTCCCATTCACTTGGATCAGCGAACAGAAGCAGAAGTTAAAATGTAAAACCTCAACCTGCCTCCAGGAGGTACCGGTTTCTCAGCGGCCCGGGTCCAAGCCATCTGAAGAACAAGCAGCTGGTTTAACCAGGATGGAGAAGAAGTTTGGTTTCCTTCTGGGTTTCCTCTCAGCTTATAGAATCTCTGCTGGGAGCAGCTAAAGCCCAGTACCACCAGTAGAACCACAGCTGGTCTGAAGCATGTTGTTTGTTTTCTGCTGTGAGGCGAGTAGAAAGTTCCCCTGGTTCATCATCATCATCATCATGACCCTGGATCAGGTTCTGTCTGATTTCTGTTGATCGGCTGAGAACCAAGCAGCTTCATCATCATCACCATGGACACCAAACGCTCTTTCAAGGGTTTTAACTAGGCCATCAGCGTCACCTTCAGCTTTTTGTTCTGCATCAAAAACACACACACACACACACACAGCACTGATCTTCCTGCCATTCTCCAGTGATTCGGTTCTGAAAGGTTTCATTAGACTGGAGGGAATCCAAGCTGTCAGGAATAACCTGCCAACCGTCCAATTAAGACGACTGAGTTCTGACACAAACATGATTTAATAAACGAGTCAGTAGAAACCAACCAATCCGTGCTGTAGTTTTATCCTGGCCAGTATGGGACTGCTTTAGATGGCTGGAGATGTTTCCCATCAGCCCCTGCTCCTCCTGGCCGTCCAGCCGCTGCGCGCTGCCGGATCAGATGTCCGCCGGTTGCTCACACGCTGACGGAGGTCCACAAGCATCATCAAAGACTCGGCTGTCAACACACACATTCCTGTGAAGGAACACAGTGTTCACCCAAGCGAGATGTCAGATACCATCAGGCTGATGGGCCGCGGGCAAACCCTGGATTTCCCATGAGGCCGAGTGGCTGCCGGCGGTCCCACACAGACAGGAAGCGTTGGGACTGAGGGCGGGGGGCTTCGGGAGAAGAAAGGTACAGGACCATCACAGCCAGAGCAGCAGCTGGATGCTGGGCCGGATTCAACACTTCACTCCCATCTGGACCAGAACACGAAGTTAAAGAGTCCGGCAGACATATCGGCTCTGAAGCTGATTGATTATTGGGCATTTTAAAGGTTATTAGTGTTCATAACACAGTCTCTCTCAAAACCAATCAATTAAACTAATTCCTTCAGGAGAAAAACTATAATTTTCCAAAGACATACACTTAAAGAACAAAAAGTACTTTCTATCATTCATATTTATTGAAAGGACCAAAAATTCCCTAAAACTTATCAGGGAAACAAAACAAAATCACATAAAAAAATAAATGATTGTGCTTATGAACTAAAACCAGCAGCAGTCTCACTGTTTCCTAGGCAACCATCTATAGAAAAATAAACATGTTGTGTTTGTCAGAGCAGATTTCTGTTAGCTCATATTTATAATCATATTTATACGTGCTGCTGTTCTGAATAATGAACGTCTATTGGGATCAAAGGTGAGGAGTTCACAGTGTCCTGCTGCGTTAGCTACTTTGTTCTGATATGATGTGTATTTTTCTCATTGCCAGGAGGGCCGGATCTTTGGGAATTAAATTTCAAAGCTGTGCTGGTGGCCAGAGGATTCAGACACGTTAGCCAATCAGAAAGTAGGCCAAGCTGTCCGTGGCCATGTTTCACTGCTCACTTTGAAGCATCTTGATGGAAATCACAAAATCTAAAATAACTTTCTCAATTTCTCACACACAAAAAAAAGTTACTTTCATGTGAAATGTTCTTTGGCTTTTCCAAAACAGCTAATGGCTAATGGCTAATGGGCTAAAGGAGAAACACGGATTAAAACCAGGATTAAAACCAGATGCTCCCATCCACTGCTGGTCTGTGCCTTTCCCCTTACCAAAGGGGGAAACATTTCTAAACCCAAACCTCCAGCATGGAGAGGAAAACTCTCTCTGATTCATGGTAGTTAGCAACGTCTACTTCCTGTTTACATCTGATGACATCATGCTTTGCTGGTTGATTCTCTCCAAACCAGCAGACAGAAACACGACTAATTAATGTTTAATTTTTGGCAACATTTTAAAACTTCACTCAAAACAAGTGGATGAAAACACAGCTTTCACTTTCAGTTTTAAGACTCGGCATCTACACAGCATAGCTCTAGACTGAGTAATGGCTGGACTGCAGCGACTGTTCCAGTGCTGAACACGTGGCTCCATCGGACCGCATCGACCTTTATCAGCACCTCCAGAAAACCAGCAGCATCAAATTACAGCTGGGACACGTTTGACAATCAACAGCATGAAGACGTAACGAACGAATCCTCCTGACGAAGCTCTGAACACAAACGCCAGGCCAAGAGTCGAGTCTGACTGACGCTCTAGAGTTCATCCGACTCTCAGACGTCGAGGGAAACATTATTTTAACGCTCAGATTCAAACTTTTATTACCTCTTTTTATTTAAGAGGGAACTGGGAGAATAAAAACGTTAGTTTGAGGTTATGAAGCACCAGAGGATTTCCTACAGACCACATCAGATCTGCTCAGGACAAGGTCAAAGTTCATATCGCCGTTCTCATCCCTCATGGAGTCATCAGAGTACAGATAAAAACACAGTTCACTGACAGCTGCGGCGCGCCTGGAAGACACGGAGGGGACAGGGGACACGGAGGACACAGGGGACATGGAGAGGACACAGAGGGGACAGGGGACACGGAGGACAGCATGGCTCCTGCTGGACTAGGAGGAACCATTTCTAACTCTAGCTGAAGTAACGTTACTTCAATGTGTATTTAACAAATTTAGAGCAAAAATGGATTCATCAAAGTTTACTTAAGTATTGAGTGATTACCACATAATTATTCACAAAATAACACATTTTGACCAGAATAACTTCACCAAATCAAACATTTTCAACCCTTAAGCATGTTAAACATACTTCTGTCTTAAACATGTTCTGATTTTCAAGCGGTTGGTGAAAAACTCCTTAGGGGGCCAATGTGCCTAGAGATTTCCCTGAATTTGGATTCAAATGAAGGAAAAATGCTTCATACAAAATAACATGAAGGGTTAAATCAGATAAAAGTTCAATAAAGTATTAAATATACAGAATTTGATTATTAAATCAGTGTCAACAGCTAGCATCGCTGAATCAGACTCAAGGCTGTGAAAAACACCAAACTAATGAATGATTACCTGGAAGTTCATCTGAACAAACAGGATAAATTATATTAAAACTTAAGAAAGTCAGATAACACCAGAGAACTTTCAACCTAAAACATAAAAATATTTTGGGATGAAACAACGACGGCTGCAGAAATGAACCCAGAAATCAGAAGGACTGGACCTGCTGGTTAACACCGAGCAAAACACCTGGATTCATCTGACAATCAGCAAAATCTAACAGTTAAGATCCGAGTTATAAACAGGATTCAGCGCCACCTGCAGGACAACACGAGAACCGCGGCCAGAACACATCCAGACATTAAAACAGCAACAGGAGCAGCGTCACTATTAGCAATGAAACACAAATCTGAGCAGCATTTTTCCAGACCTACATTAGCATAATGCTAACCAGACCTACATTAACATTATGCTAACCGGACCTACATTAGCATAATGCTAACCAGACCTACATTAACATTATGCTAACCGGACCTACATTAGCATCAAATAAACCAGTCATGAACTGACCAACATTAGCAGCTGAGGTAAAGAGCCAGCAGAGCAGCGTGGAAGCTAAAGCTAATAAAACTCACCGGAACTTCCTCCGCTCTCAGTCGCGGTGGGTAACGTCTCTTTCCTTCCTCTGTCGGCGCCATTATCATCTTTATCAGTTGCCCAAAACTTTCCCGCGTCTTCTTCTTCTTTGTTGCTTTTTGGCGGTTGGTTTGCATTACCGCCACCTACTGGTTTAACTGCATCTTTACAGGTGGAGGCTAAATTCACAGCGTATTCAGACATTAAATTCAGCGATGCTGATTGGTCAAACATTTAATATTTTCCCTAGCAACCACACACGATTGGCTGTTTATCTAGAAGAGAACTGACTGCGAAATTCACTGTTCAACTTCATGTGATAAGATTGTGTTGGTAAATCAGATTACATTTAGGCACACTATAAAGGAAAACTGGCTAAAAGATTAAAAAGAAAAAAAATCATGTTTATAGATGAGTTTTAGACTTTTTTCACAGGTCCAGTTCAGATTCAGCTCCAATGTGATTCACTCCAGTTTAATTCTTCTGTACAGCCTGTTTGGTTTTTTACATTCATGTTTCATGATGTCTGCTACAGTCAGGGTCGCAACTACATATTATTCAGGTGGATGCGACACGTTAAAGGTAAAACTCGCTACATTTACCCCGTTATGTGCGCGAGGTGAAGGAGCGTAAGGACGCGGTGAAGTGACATCATCGGCGCGCCGCCCCTCCAGACGGGGTTTTGACGCCCCCTCTGGTGCAGCGCCCCTATGCGTTGCATGCGCTGCATACCCACTTTTTGCGCCACTGGCTACAGTAAGTCATCCTAATGTCATGATGTTGAAGTGTTGAGGTGAGATCGAAAGCAGACAGATCCAGGTTACAGAAGAAGATGGATATTTAATGATGACCGGTAACCAGCTCAAACAGTCCAAGAACAGCAGGCAGCACAGTGGGCGGAAGCGAGGCTAGCCACTGGTAGCAACAACAAAACGACTGGGCCTAACAGACAAGACACACGACAAGGATCCGACAAGAGACAGAGACAACAGGTGGACTGAAATACACAGGGGATAATCACTGAAACGAGACACCTGACAGGACAACAGAGACTCAGACACAGAAACCTAAAATAAACACAGAAAACCTCAGATCACTACACCGAACTGCAACACCTCCTGTAGATTAATTCATTCCTCCAGTTTGTTTCTGTTTTTTCTGCTGTTTCTGATCCAGTGGATCTCTGTCTCCATGTTCCACATCAACCAGATCATCCAGGTTTTATTACTGCTAGTTTCAATATAATCACCTTTATGTCTTATTTTCTGTTGACTCTTGACACAAAAGGTTTTCTTCTTAACTGCAGTGAATATTAAAAATCATTTATTGTCCTTTTTCCAACATTTTCTGTTGCTAAGATCGCCATTCTTCCCTTTCCATGCTGACTCAGACCAACAGAAACACGTTTCATCCTCAGAGTGAAAACAGTTTGTTGTGATTTTACTGAACTTTCCGGTGTTGCTGGTCATGAGTCCAGAAGCTGCTGCGGATCCCTTTACAGGTGGAGGAACGACAGGAATGCGGCGGCCGCGCTCCAGCGGCCTGCAGCGGCCTGCAGCGGCCAAGCCGCAGCGGGAGCTCCGCAGTTCCTGGGAGTTTCTGGCTGTTTGCAGGAGCCGCTCGCTCAGTCTGGCCATCTGTGTTTGTTGTGGTGCGTTGGGATCATGTGCGGGATCAGATGGTCCGTCTAGACGGTTCGGGGCGTGTTGGGCCCGGATCAAACGCTCACATGGTTCCTCCTGTCAGACTATTAACCAGATTACCGGACCGGGCCATCCCGCCCGGACTGCAGGTTCTGCTCCTCTGCGGCCCGTCAGACAGGCTGTTCTCCAGCCTCGCCTCGATCGGCCCACGCCGGTCTCGTCCCGCCCACGCCACACGCAGACACACATGGCTCACACGCAGCGCGACACACACGTGTGAGCCATGAGTAACTGTCTGAATCAGAGGAAAGAAAGAGAGAAAGATTTTTCCTGAGTTGTTTGCGCTGATCGCCGTTCCGCCCTGAGAGCTGCTAAGAACTTATTTAGGCCTTAAAACAGGGGGTCAAAGCGCGGCCCGGGGCCCCTGCGCGGCCCGGGGCCCCTGCGCGGCCCGGGGCCCCTGCGCGGCCGACTGCAGTTCAGAGGAATGGTAGAAAATGGTACAAATTTGTTAACCATCAGGCAACTGAAAGTTGCATCAAGTCTTTTCAGAGAAAGAGCAACTTAAACGCTAGCTGACCCAAAAAAAAAAAAAAAAAAAAAAAAAAAAGTCCAACGCGTCTTTTTACTCAGACTATAGAGGTTATTTGAGATCTAACATGAATTACAGAAACAAGTCATTTATTTCACTAAAATATTAATGTTTAGTTTATAGTTCAGGATGTAAAAGTAAAAAAAAAAAAAAAGAAAGAAAAAAAGAAAAGCCACAATGGAATAAATTAGTATTTATTTGAAAATCAAGGTTTTTTTCCCACTTTAAAAGTTTGGCCTTGGAGGCTAGTTGACCTCTAACCCTGTGGATGAGCCAGCAGGGAACATTCTGCAGATCCAGGTTGAGGTGAAGAGACGTAGAGGTCGCCACGGGGTCACAGGTCTGATTCTCAGCACCTGGTGGATCCGTTTGAAACTCTGTACCTCCAGGTTTGGATCAGACTCTGAGAGAAAACTCTTATAATTTAATAAACCAAACTAGATCACCATGGAAACCATCTGAGCTGAAGGTGGAATCTGATTGGTGGATTGTTTCTCTCCTTTCTCCCAGACATTCCTGATGTTCATAATCTGAGTTTCACCTGGAGGGTAAAAATAACAGCTAGCTCCTGAAGCCACAGCACGGCGATAACGCCTGCCTCCAGATGACGCCCTGCTCCGCCTCCAGATGACGCCCTGCTCCGCCTCCAGATGACGCCCTGCTCCGCCTCCAGATGACGCCCTGCTCCACCTCCAGACAGCCCAGTGAGTTATTCTGGTGTCTGGGGGAATCCTGATGATGTAATGCTGCTGCTCGGTACCTGCTGGCGGCTCTGTGGCCTGAAGCTGCAGCCCGTTGGCTCGGTGCAGGCCACGCCCCCTCTACCTGCTGCAGGTGAAGGTTCCTGATGTTTCTGAACAGCTGAACCACCCGCAGCGCTGCACTGTAAAGGAGCGCCTCTGGAGGTCAGATTAACCCGGATTATGTGGAGCTGACTCATATCAGGGCGAATCGGCTCGTATTCAACCAGAACCAGAACCTCCAGCTGCTCACAGGAAGCATGACATCTGAGAGGCGCCTCATGTTTCCTGTTAGTGACCTGCTGCTCTGCATCACCGCTCCAGCTAGCATGAGGGCAGCGCTAATCCTTCCTGTTAGCTAACCGCCTCCATCTGATGGTGTCAGCTCACATTTCTCCCCGGTTTAATCTCCCGCCGCTCCGTCTCTGATCAGAGGAGCCGCAGGAACCCATCCTGCCTCCGTCTGACCTCGACAGCTGCAGTTGCCACGGCAACCAGCTCCTCAGACAGGAAGTAGCTTCAGCTTCAGTTACTGATGAGACTCAAAAATCGCCGGCCGCTTCAACAGGCCAGGTTAGTGATGTCACTCAGGTAGAGACACCTGACCTATCAACACCAGCAGTCGAGTTTTCTGCAGTTTTCACCAAATTGAATTAAAGCCTGAATCACTACAGAAATTAACATCAATGAATCATATTAGAAAGATTAACGAGGAAAGGCTCTCCTCGTTAGATGAACGCATTCTGACTTTATTTGAAAACTTTCATACTAATTGTTCTTCCCATTAATCTCTGGTTCCATTTCTCCTCCTTCTAATCTGGATTTCCCTCCATAGTAACAGATTTATAAAATAAAACTCCGCAGCAGGTCAGACTGATGAAATCTATCTAAAATCCACTAAACATTAAACTTGATATTCCGTCGCTCTTAGCTTAGCGCTAGTAGCAACGTTGTTTTATGGGGAGCTTTTTGTGATGTTCATGTTTCTGCAGCCTTCATTCCCATAGAGCCGAGCTTCATAGAGCAGAACTCATGTAGCATCGATAAATCTGCGCTTAACCCAATACAGACACTAAAAAGCTAGTAGCTGGTGAGGCTATAGTAGCACTAGCTAGCGTTAGCCTCAGCCATCCAGAGTTAAAGAACAGGATGAAGATGCCTGCAGGTGACTCAAACTTTTTCCTGACACAAAAGTCTGGCAGGAAATGAACTCCAAAGTTATATGAGATTAATTAATCCTGCTACGACAAAATGTAAGAGCAGTGATTAAAATGTTTAAAATATGTAAATATATTTTATCATCATGATGAGGATCTGTTAGTTTGTTGGCGTCTTTGTGATGATGACGATGATGTCAGGATGAAGGGCGGCTCAGATGGAGGTTCTAATTGGACTAGGACATTCAGGAAGCTGATTGGATGATTCAAGGATCAAACTTCTGGTTGGTCATTGAACAAAACAAAGCGAAGCATCGAGCAGCTAGACCTAGAGAGGTCAAAGTTCATCTTAGGTTCATCCTGAAATTCTGGCCTGAACTTGACCTTTGGTTGGCGTCACTGACCTTCTGGAGCTGCTGAGTTTCAGAGCAGTTAAAGTTTCACTGGCTCAGCATGACGCTTCCACTACCATGCCTCCTTGTCTCATTCCTTGTCTCACTGAACAAGGAATGTTCAGTGAGACAAACATTTGAGTCTGAAACATTGAAAACGATTAAAAATAAGAAAAAAATCCATGAAAATGTGAATAATTCAGACCTTAAATTTAGGTTCATTTACATATTTTAGTATTTTTCTCTGATTATTTCTCGCTCTGGCATCATGTGACCAGAGTGCCGCACTGGCAGGCAGCTCCACTGGTCCAAACCAAACCTCAGTCCAGGAACTGAACCAGGAACAGTTCCTGTTCCTTCCTCAGGAATTGTTTGTGCAGCTGATCTCCATCAGGCTGCAGCACTAGCAGCATTAGTAGCATTAGCAGCATTAGTAGCATTAGCAGCATAAGCAGCATTAGTAGCATTAGCAGCATTAGTAGCATTAGCAGTATTAGTAGCATTAGCAGTAGCTGTAGACTCTTTCTGCTGTGATTCTGTAATTGCTGTGAAACTCTGAGCCGCGGCAGGCGGAGAGCCCAGCTGATGAAAGGCAGCGTGTCTGAGAATCTGTCTGAGAAATTCCTGCCGCCCACATCAGTGGCCCTGGGCGGGGAGCCGGCGGGCGGCGCTGCGTTCTGACGTTAGCGTGCCGCAGCCGTTCTTCCCCAGTGACTCATCTCTGGTCAGAGTCAACCCAACACAAGAATGTCCACATCTTGCTCTGGTTTGCTGCTCTGCATCTCTTTGTCTCATCGGAGCAAACACTGAGCCGCCCTTTGTTTGTCTGCAAAACGGATCCATGTGGACCAGAACCAGAACCGAGTTGCAGTGCCACACCGCTGAGAGACAGCTGGATTCCTTCACGAACAGTTTGATCTGAAGCAAAGATCTGAGCCGTGTACGTCCAGAGGAAAAGAAACCGGACACTCCAGCACCTGCGGCTCAGATTAACATCTGGACTTTGACTAGGCCATGAAACATCCTGATTTCGTCCTTCTGCTGTTTGCTGGGTTTGAGGTTCATATGATGCAGTCTTCACCTTAACTTATACTTTATTGAACTGAGATCATGTAACGACAAACCCACATCACTACCTGCCACCACCGAGCTTCACAGCAGCTTTCTGCTACAAATGTGAACAAAACTTTGTTGGTGCCATTAAATAAGAAATAAAACTAAAATCACACATGAATAAGTCATTAAAACTCATGGCAGCAACTGATCAATCAATCAATCAGTCAGTCACATTTTATTTGCATACCGCATTTCAGCAGCAAGGCATTTCAAAGTGCTTTACATCATAAAAATGTAAACAGTTGTTCTGGTTCTGGTCCAGTGAGGATGTTTTCCTCCTGATGGACCGGTCGACACGGTTCTACTGGAACCAGAACATCTGCTCCACCTCCAGCTACTGAGGTTCTCTGAGTCAGACCAACCTGTTCCCCTCCTGGCCTGTGGGGGCGCTGCACCAAGAACCACTGAAGGAAACGACACAAAAACCTCTGAAGACACTGAGAGCAACTTCCTTCTTCACCAGATGGAAACAAGATGTAGGATTTTAGCAGCTGGAGGATTTCTCTTTAGGCTAAAGACCAGGAGCCATTTCTGCTGCTAGCGCTAGGCTAGCATGTTAGCTTTGGTTGTATTTACCCAGAATGCCCTGAATTGTTGTCCACTTCCTGTTTTTGGAGCGGTCTCTGGTCTGCTTGGCGTTCACATTCAAACCTAACCAGAGTTCACTTCAACTGAACCCAGACCGAGGTTTGGAGGACCAGAGGTCAGAGGTCGATTAGCGTTCACAACAACCAAACTGGACTTTGACTAGACAGATCGACTGGAGTTGGGTTGAAGTGGACTGAACTGGGCTGGTGGGAATGAACCTTTGCTTGAGATATATTCATATTTCAGCTGCTAATGCTCACCAACAGCCAATCAGAAGAGACTCTGTAGTTTTCCTGAGGCATCGGAGCGTGAAGCTGCAGGTCTCGTCTTCTGATCAACTCTAAGGCCAGCTGAGCGTTGGCGACGGAGGTCGGTCTCTACCAATAAGCTGATAAATACAAACTGCTGTGACACAAAATAAGTTTTGTGAAATACATACAAAATTTAGATTTGTTTTTCTTTCAAAATTGCACATTTATTCTCGTAATTCCAATTTGATCAATTTTATGGTCAACAGAAACAATTTACAGTCCAACATCTCTACTTCAGTCTGCTCGGACGCCTTGTACTTTAGATGGACCGCAGCCGTTCTGTGTTTCTGACTGAAAGGTTTTAGTCTCCAGGTCCTGACAGGACGCGGGTGGAGCAGCGGCTGCAGATCCCAGAGTCACCTGCAGGGCGGCGAACAGGTGTTAGACCCAGAGATCTCCTGACGCATTGCCACATTATCTCAGAGCAATGCAGCCAATCAGAGGAGGAGAAGGCCAAACATAACTTGGCCTCCATGTCTCTGAAAACATCCTGCAGTGTGTGTGTGTGTGTGTGTGTGTGTGTGTTAATCCTGGTATTAGCTGTGTCTAGACTCCACAGTCTCTCAGGTCCTCCCTCTGCAGGGTCACCTCCTCCTTATCTCTCCTCACGTTTCAGTTTTCTCCTGCTTGTCTTCACTCCAAACTCTGATTTCTGGTTTCCTGGATCAATTCTTGTTTTTCTAGATAAAGTCTTGTTTCACTGGAAAACTCGTCTTCTTTTCTGTGCTGTTAAAGTCTGAGTCCTCCTGATCTGCCGTTTTGAACATAAGCTTCCCCTTTAAGGCCCAAACAGCCATCAGCATAAATCAGCCTGGACAAATGGTGTTGAAAATCCTCCCGATGACCCCCAGGGGGTCATGTGACCTCGGCTGCTGCCTCATCACATGACCGCCTCACTTTCAGCTTCCTTTCATAAAAAAACAAAATAAAATCAAAACGCTTCTTCCAGGGTGAAGCGAGGTGAAATGTCCCAACTGACCGTTCAGCTGCACCAAATCTGCAGTAAATATGTAACTACAGCACACACACACACACACACACACACACACACACACACACACACACACACACACACACAGTGATGATCTCTGCAGAGCCTCAGTTTGTTGCTTCCTGATGGGACGGCGTCCAGCGGCACAAAGTTTCCAGCTCTGTAGTTTGAGGGGATTCCTGCGGTCTGAAGGAGAAACGGCTGCAGCCAATCACAACATCCGTCTTAAAGGAGCCGTGTCACATTTATTACA